AAAAAGAAAAGCGTCTCTAATTTACGGTAAAATACCGGCAGCTGTTTTTACAGTTTTTCTACAAAAATTAGACATTCTTTTTTTTTTTTTTTTTTTTTTTTTACAATGTAGCAGAGTTTGAATAGTATAATTGGATTTTAGCAATAACAAATTCACTATTGACACTTAAATCCTGGTGTACAGAGGAGGATGCATTTCCTTGGTCCTTTGTCAGGTCTCTCAGGATTTTTAGGTCATTTTTATTGTATTAGTATTTAGATATTCTCTGGCCTCATAATTCCTCCTCCGTCCTTCACTTGTCCACTTTCCTATTTTTTAAGCAAACACTGCAAACTGCCCTGGCAGGGTCACGTACAAGTACCAGACAGAAAATAGGTCAAAATGCCAAATCCCAGCCAAATCCCAAAGAATAGCACTGACCTTCGCAAAGACCCAATAACTATTGATATTGACCACTGTAAGCATTTGCAAGAAAATCTGACTCCTTGGAAGGAAAGTATACAGAGTTAGGAGTGGTTTAAACTTTTGCACATTGCTTTCATGTCTCCTATTGTCTGGATCCCTGCGCTTTGCCTCTGCATGCCCATTCTGGTTTTAGCCAAAGACGTCATTAAAGATTTGTTTTTCTTTCTTATTCTCTGCTCTGCTGCACTTTTAATCTTTTAAAGATCTGCTGCTGCTTCTTCTCACCCCTCTCCCCACGCCTGCCGCCTGCGTTCTGTTTTGACTTGCTCCATTCTGACAAGCGTTGGTGAACTTTTTGCTCAAGTTCAGCCACTTCTTTTCACACTTTGCAAGACTTATCACCTTCTGATTGATCATTTACTGACCTATTTCACTTGGCAGCTCAGATGCAGGACATGAGCCAACTATGCAACAGGTCAGCGTCGTGTCACACTGTGCACAGTCATCTGATAAGATCTATAGAAGTGTTAATTATTGATAACTATGCTACTGTCATTTGTTCTACCACAGGGATTTTCAGTTACCAACATCCCACAGGAGGGATTTAATAGACCATTATGGATTAGTTGACCAATCTAAAGTCATTTATGTTCATTATGGTTTTCTGAAATCCTCACAAACTGTGCTACAAATTTAGGTTAGTTGTAAAGACAAGCTTGGACAAAGTTATGCACAGACATTTAATGTATTCAACTTGACCAGAAGCATTCGTTTTTATTTGATTTTAAGTGTGTTTTATTTGAAATTTAAAAGCAGCATTTAAATATAATGCCAGCTGCTTTACTAGATATTGACTGCATATTCTTGTATAACACAATTGGTTAAATGACAAAATATAATTATTGTCAAAAACTGTGCTTTCTTCTTTATCGTTGAGTTTTCCACTTCCAGTTAGAGTGGCCGTCTGGGTGTTTGTGGAAAGTTTGGAAAACTTCAAATATCCAATCCTCCTCTTCACTGTTGCTTAGTCTGCTGTCAAAAGCTTTAAATAAACTTTTGGGATTCTTTTTAGTTTTTTTTGGGGGGGATTGTTTTTTTTAAACCACGCTCTTCCAATTTTCCATTGACAAAGTGCTTTGTGTAATATTTCAGTCACAGCTTTACATGTTTTTAATGTAAACACAGCATCATTGATGCCACTCTGTAACCAACCGTGTTCTTGATACTGGATGGAGTATTTTGACATCCTTTTTTGCTGTCTTACATGCTCAACTGAGGTCACAATACAGCCATGGTAAAAAAAAGAAAGTACACCCTCTTTGAGCTTTTAGAGTTTACATATCTGTACGGGGTAATAATGACCAGACTTGTAGGAAGTGTTGAAAATATTTCTACTGTACAGAAACACGTAAGACATTCCACACTGTCATTATTTATATAACAAAAAAAAAGTCTCAAGCATTCCTCTGTGTTAACTTGGGGATGAATGGTGAAAGTGTGGGTTCATTTTAAAGGCTTGACCAGATCGGTTTTGTTATTTAGAGTTAGAAAGAGGATCTACTTTTTAGTGTTGCTTGGTGATGTGCGTTGGCAATCAGATCAATCTTGTCAGGCGTTATCTGGGGTCCAAGTTGGAAAATCCTTTTAAAAGAGTTGAAGGGTTTAGATTGGACAGACCTGCTGTTCTTAAAGGCCAAATTGTCTGAACCAGAGGCTTTCATAGAACATCAGAGGCGTCCAGCAGGGTTTTCAGGGGTCCAGGGTCAAACCACACAATGTTTCAAATATGACACTAGACCAAAGGCAGAAGGAAGCCTTTTGAAGTACGATGTTTTTTTTTTCTGTTTTTAACTTTGTGCAAGCATTATTCCTCTTATATTTATGTAGTTGTTCAAATGAACAGGCAGACACAATCTCATGTTGAAAAATCATCATAGCATTGACTATTTGGCACCACTGGATACAAATGCAGAGAAAAATCTTTACTGTCTGGAGCTCATGTCAAAGAACTTTGCAACTTTCATAAAATTTTAAACATCATTTTTTCCTTCACTGGATGTTAAGTCATGTATTTTGCAAATATTTAAAACTGTGATTAGACACAGGGTCATTCATGTCTATCACATGTGGTCTCTTTCCACAGATCAGTTCGTTTACTTTACATCCACTCAGCTGTCATCCTTCAGACAATGGGATGACTGCGTTCTACCTAACCTGAAACAACCCCAACAAATACCTCCTCCTGATGTCAGACGATTCAGACTCCAAGCCCTACCCCTTGCCGGTTCCGGCAGATCGGGATGGAGCCTCGGCTTCGAGCAGTTCCGTCTCAAGCGGAGTCTCAGGGTGCAGTCCCATGGCACAGATGCGGTGGGTGGGCAGCTACGCCCAGGGCAGACCTGACCTTGGACTGCCCTCCGAGGGCAGCGACAGCAGCGGTCAGGACCCCGCCCTCTCTCCTCACAACGTGCGCAAGACAACGCGTTCTCGGTTGTCCCCCGAGGAGGACGTGGAGATGAAGAGCAGTGGGTCCAGCGGCAGCGGGACAGAATCTCATGGCAACGAGAGTCATGGCAACGAGAGTCATGGGAATGACAGCAACGGCCACGAGTCAATGGGCAGCTCCAACAGCTGCAGTAAAGACTCGGCATTGCTCGAATCTTCAGGCAGCAATAAAAGGTAAGAGATGGCAGAACTTTCTCTCCTTTACTGTAGTTTCTTATTACAAATTTAAAAAAAAAGACATGCCACTTAGTTTTCCAATCTGTACCAATTTGCAGCAACTTCCTCTTCCACCACAGTAAAAAGGTGCAAGGTGTAATAAGGTGTTTTTTTTAAGGTGTTCATCAGATAAATTAGTTTTCTATAGTGATGGGATGTTTTTGGACTTCATTATAATTTTAATTAATCACTTGCAGGCTTGTAGATTTACCAACCGAAGCTTATGTAAATGAACAGCATGGGGTCTCCTGGAAGAGCTATCGCTACAGGGGCCTTTACAAGCAACACTCAACTCTGTCAATTACGACTGCAAGTTTAATAGGAATGACCTGAAATGAAGTGAATGTGAACAATACTGCTCGATAACAGAACCGTAAGTCAGAGGCTTCTTAGAGCGCAGAACAACTAATAAACTGCTTTTCCTGCTAATATGGCTCCATGTCAGTAGGTCCCTCTCTTCTAAATGTTCACTCTGAATGGCAAAAAAGGGCAAAATCACCAGATCCCTTTGGCAAAACAGAAGACAAAAAACCTTGTCTGGTTACTCTCACCAGAAACAAGCAAAATAAATCGCCATTGTCAGTGAAAGTTTGGTGTTTTTTGTCAAGAATGTAAGGCAATATTCAGACTCAGTTCCTCTGTCTACAGCAGTGTGGATATATCAACTGGCTAATTACCATTCCTGATTAAAGCTAAAAATTTTTACATCGTCATCACTTTCTATTCAACACAAAGAGACTTACACTGAAACTTCACTCTCCTAAATCAAATTTTAAAACTTTACTGTGCAGCAGGACCTCAGCAGAAACGGCTGGGATAGTTTACTTATCAAACATAAAAAGAAGTTTACAAGCAGCAGTATGCACCTTATCTTTGTCATAAAATTGAACGTGAAATTAGGTTTAGGGATTTAGCCACGGAGTCATTCACCCCTAACGTAGGCTGATCATTGATTGTGATGCAGTGCCAAACTTTAGCCAGTAGATCAACAAAAAGGTAAAAATATTATTAAGAGTCACCGAGACCCACCTGTTTATGTCAGATAACAGCCATTGCTTATAATTAACACTCCAGGAGTCTTTTACCACTTAAATTTGTATTAGTGAAAATTTTCTCTCCATGAACGGCCCTTCAGAAACAAAATTTTTAAATGGTGCTTTGTAAATTGGGCATTCCATTCAGTGAATCACTGTTAGCTGAACACTTTTCAAACTCAGAATAGATTCTCGCAGTAAGATAACGTTGGGTAAAAATACCATAGCTTCTTGATACTTGGAGTAGAATTTGAAACAAAAAAAAATTGATCTAATCTCTTATTTGAAACAAAAAAGTAACAATTATTCTTACAAAATAATTTATCATATTGTTCATTGCAGTCAGATCTTTGTCATGAGATTTAAACTACTCTAAAGCAGATGAATGGCTGGACAGAAATATTTTAGCAGCATAATATTCCAATCATACCTTGTCCTCGTAACAAGAGGCTAATAGCATTAAGCTATTCATTGCTGAAGGGCAACTATGTAAAAATGTTTAGCACTTTATAGCTTGGGACTAGCTTCCAGCCAGATCACATTATGAACAGCTGAGTCTAATCTGGTTTCTGGTTGAAGCAGTGGATAGGTTGTCTTGGCAGCAGTTTGGTTAAAACTACGTTTTAAAAATTTGTCTGGCAAGTTTGGTGAGATGTGGTTTGGCTTACATGTTGAGATTATCTGTGTTTTACTGGAAAAGCAGCTGTAGTGCTAACCGCAGTCAAACAACATTATTTTATGGCAAATAATGTTGTTTTTTTTATTCCACTGCTTCACACACACATTCACATGGTGGATGGAATATTTTTAATGTTTTTCTTCCTTAACTTTACAGTTTTGACACATAAAGGAGCATTCATGCAGCACATTATATCTTGCATATTTCATCCAGAATTAGTGAATAATAGATAGAATCACCTTTGAATTTAAGCCATAGATTCAACGGTGGTAATCCGTAAAACCTTTCGTGCGAGTATGTGGCAACAGGCCAGGATCAACATTCAAGGTTTGTGAAAACAGATAAGCTCATCTGTTTTTTAGCAAGAGCAAAGTATTTTGGTGATACATACTTAAGGTTTTTTTATTCATAAGTCTCAACTTTTGAAATAAATCTTGGATAGCACCTTTAATTTCATGAGTTTCTGTGACATCAAACCTTTTTTCTGAGACATAAGAATTGGTTTAAAACTAAAAAAAAAAGAAAAAAAAAAGACAGCTTTAAAACTTTCAGAATATTTTCCTGTCTTCATCATGTCCAGAAATAGACCCAGACACTATACAGCTTGTCCTGGAAACATACAGAGCAGAGGAACAAATAAATGACTGTATCAACCAGCAGGAGAAGCAAATTGATGTCATCTTGAAGGCTGGAAGCTGGCTTTTCTTCAATGCCAGATGGGCCATGTCATGCTTTCCTACTCCTTGTTGCCATGACAATGCACTGTTTGTGTGTGTTTATCTCTGGGTGGAGCAACCCGGTCTCAAGCTCTGACGTCTTTACTCACGCTAGGCTTTGCCTTACTTTGACCTGCCCTTGCTGCTTGAGATCCAAGCCTTTTTTTTTCTTTTTAAACCGCTCCTTTTCTGCCATGGTCTATTTCCCTTCTGGCATCTAACGCTCTGTCTGCTGACAGAATGACGTATTTTAAACCCACATAACTCTTTCTGGTTTTGTGTTGCTACATAGCACCACTGTCTGCCAACTCTGAGTCAGCTCAGTTTACTTTCTACATTTTTTGTTCTCCAGTTTTAGGAGGTACACCTCAGAATGTTTTTGTACTTGTCTACTCTCTTGATATAGATCTGTATGTATAAACTAATTTCTGGAAAAGCAAGTGATTTAATCGCAACCAAATATTAACCTATTAAACTAACATGTCGACAACATTGCATTTTCTAAGAGTTAGGACACCCTACCCCTAAAAGGTTATCAGATGCCCTTTGGCTTTTGCATGTACTGCATGCTTTAGTGTCTCAGTGGGATTAAGTTCTGGCCTTTGATGAGACCCAGGATCTTTCGTTTCTTAGTAATTGGTCAGTTCTTGATGTAGCTTGCATGTTTTGTGTCCCTGTCATGTTGCTCTGCTTTGGCTCTATTTGTTTTTTATATGGTTTCACAATTCTCTCAAGCGTCCTTTGATAGTCAGTAGATAAAAGCCACATCCTGCTGCAGAAGATCTTTCCCATTACACTTTCAGCTATGTGCTTCTCAGGACAAGAAGAATAAGTGTTACCCATGGCATTATTTCAAAAGACTGACAGCGGGCCCATATTGACCTTATTGTTACCTTAAATTCTAACTTTAGTTTGTCTATGCAAAATTAGCCAAACCTGTGGTTTAAACAGCCAGTTTATCAAATTTTAAACTCAGTTAATGTTATCGATTCTTCTCATCTTGCTGCAATGTCAAACTAATGGCAAGAAAAAATGGTCTGCAGTTGTGAAAAACTACAAAGGCATTCAAAGCCTCTTTTCTTAGTTTTGTTGTCCCAAAAAGCCTGTAGATTTAAAGCGGTTAAATCTGACACCCAAGTCCTGCACATGTTAGATGAACTCATTCTAATCTAAACCATCTACCACACCTGACTCAAATTGTTGACTCATTTCCTCTGTTACTAAGTTCATGAGGAACCCGCTTGGCTTGTTCATCTAAAACATGCAGAACACCAGCCCACTTCCTGGTGTGTGTGGGGTACATTTCCAAGGAGGTTCCATTAAACGTTTTCTACCTACTAATATCAGTGATCAGTTTATTTATTATGTCCTACTGACACTGTTTTAAAACTAATAATCCTGTGCCTGTTTCAATAAAGAAAATGAATTTGTTGCTTAAAATGACCACATGTTCTAGCATGTCTCCTACTACTAATATTAATATGCCAATTCATCAGGTGAATATCACGTGCTTGTGCCAAAGTCCAAACATCTCCTTTGTCCCATTTATTGGTGAGCTTGCGTGCGAGTGGCAAGGGCTTTCTGGAGTTTATTCAGAGATCACTGATAAGTGATGCATTTTTATGGCTGCATTGTTTTATTTCCCAGAAGCCAAATGGATGGCTACACACATCTAGAATTACATCACTGCAATAATTTCTGCTTAATGTTTTACTGAGTGAGCTCCTCTGTGCCACAGATCCTGCTGGTTTTCTGAATGTAGGCAGAAAAAAAATGACAGTAGATTGCAGCTTAAAACATTTTCCACATTGTTCAGGTGTATTAGTTTGACTAATAACTCTGTTAGTCTGTAAGGTTTTCATCTCATTACATTAGAAAGATGATTTACTCTGATAAGCATGGACAGTCTGGTCAGCTAATTTTCAGTGCCATCGGGTCGATTGATACAAATCAAATATTGAAAAGAGATCAAATTATGGATCAAAACAGGAAGCAAAAGTGTGAATGGATTCAACAAATTTACCAATAGATGCGTTTTTAATTAATTCCCATCACATTCAGTGAGAAACAAACCTATGAAAGCCAAATGGAAAACGTCTCATGTCATTTTTAAATGTAATACCTTTGCTGTCCCAGTTATGCCTCTTAAACATAAAGGAATCGATAACCTGTCAGTAGAAGATTTTTAATTAAAGAAGACCAGCTCCCTCTGACCTTCATTTTGTGTTTCTGCTCCCGGAGGACAACTGAAACGTCTCTTACATCGCCTCTCTCAGCGCCCTCTTTATATAACTTTTCCCTGACCTACAGACTCCCTGCCATGATACCAATTAGCTTACTGGACACTAAGACATATTTAGACTGTCTAGTCTAAAACCAGCTGTTGCATTGTGCGGGACAGAAGGCTATTTAGATTGAATTAGATTCCTTCTTTGGCTCAGGAAGGCTATTTGTGAAGATGTTACCTATTCTGAGCAGGTAATCTGGGTTATTTATAGTTGTTCAGTTTTAGTTCAGATGACTCAGGTTCTCAGACAGCTGCTAATAATCTTGCTCTAAGCCTGGTGGGTAATTCTTCATGTATATTATAAGAAGTGTTATATAGGCAAGTAGGGCAGAGCTGTTGATTTGCAATTGCCAGTTTCTGCTGTTTTCTGTTCAGATTTCACCACAGTGTCAGCTGAAAAGAAAAGAAAAAGTTTTGCCCTCTCAAACTTGTGTTCAGACTGAAACCACGTGTGGCATCTCTGGGAACTTAAAGGCTTACACTGAACTTGGACTCACCTGTGCCAGGAATAACGATTCACTCTATTTTTGAGCAGGCGTTCTAGATATAGATAGTATGCAGTGTTGAAATTAGTCGTAAGGTTCTGGGTTAACAGAAGCTTACATTTGTACATTAGATACATAGTACGAAGCTAATAGAGAGACTAAGTTAACACAAACAGGAAATGTCTGTTTGTGTTAACTTAGACGGTCAGCCATGATGGCTATTCCAGGATTTCTTTGAGCAGATCTCCAGATTTTTTCTCAGCTGAATGAGATCATGAGTTTGTTGTCTTAGAACTGTTTACTGTAAATTCTTATAGATCTGTTATTATCTGAGGGTGTTGGCCTGAATGAAGGTTGTGGTTTGTTTTATATGGAGCAAATGTTCACTGTAGTTGAGGTCAAACAAATCCTGTTTATGTTGGAAGTAAAACTTTTTTTCTCATGTACGTATGTTTTCCCTAATTCACGTCAGCAGGACGTTGGTTTAAAAACAGCTTTTAAATGAATAATAAAAACATGAACCTTTATGCATGAACAATGAACATGATAGACTTTTGTTCGTGCTGCTTATTTGTAAATGAAAATGTAGAAAAGCTAAACAGAGGATAAAATGAGGTTGATAAGATTTAAAATGAAAAAAAAAAAACACTTCTGTAATATTAAATTTTTCTGAGAGATTAAATGTGGTTGTTCTCATCAAAATTACCAGAAAAAAAGACTTGAAAACTATCAATATGTGTGCATTGATTGTATATAATATATCACTTTCATTATTTTAAAATTCAGATTCAGCTGTATTGTAGGTAATGGAGACAGACTGAAGGCCAGAAACGGTCTGCTTTGAAAATATATCAAGCACACCTTTCTAAATCTGAGCACCAAGAGAACAAGCAGCGATTTTTGCCCACTGCTTGTTCTCTGCCCCCACTTGTGTTTTGACCTCACACTTGACCACAGTGCTGTGTTCTTGCTGTGCAGGAAACTGAGCTGCGGGGAATAATTTGATTCCTTCAAGTAGATGACAAAGACTTCAGGATAAGAGTGTGATTTTTGTTTTGTTACTTGGTTGCTAAATGTTCAAAATTGGATCTGAAGCTCAAAAGACGCTGTTACAGAATTCACAAAAGGCATACGAAAACAGCTGATCTTCTTTTAGCTTGAGTTAACAACAGGCCCAAAGTGTGAAAATGGGGACACTTGTCCTTTTCCACTGAAAGAAACTCGAGCACCTCAGACGCGTGTGAAAAACATGTGATAAGTCTGTACTTCAGAGAAGAATCATTTGCAACTAATTGTTCTCCTTCTGCTTACTTTGAACTCTCGAAAAGCTGATTGATTAAACATCAGCGTGAAATCTCTTTTTTTGGAACAGAAGTGATTTTTACTCCATTTTCAGGTTGCAATTTAAAAATGTTCCTTCTCTCTTGCACAGCTCCAACTCCCACAGCCCATCTCCTCCCAGCAGCTCCAACGCCTACAGTCTGCTGAGCTCAGAGCAGGACAACCCTTCAACCAGTGGCTGCAGGTTAGCTCAGTGACCGCCGCTGCTGTCAGGATCAAGATCTTTATTTAGTCTGTTTGTAAGAGCCCCTTTTCATTAGTGCTATGAGTGATGACTCTTGGTTGTTTACTTGTCCGTCTTGCAGTAGTCAGGAGTCCGCGAAAGCCAAGAACCAGAAGGAGGTGATTAAAACGCTGAAGCAGCTCAAACTCCACGTGCCATCTGACAAGCAGCACAACAGCAAGTCGACCACACTGAGCGCGCTGAAATACGCCCTGCGCTGTGTGAAGCAAGTGGAAGGTCTGTTGCAGATAACAACCTACTCTGCCTTCTCCGTGCTTCCGATTGTTTTCATCAACAACGTCTGTTTGCCTTTATGGGTTTTTTATAGTTCTTTTTTCGAGTGATTCGCTGTACATTTATGAGTAGACGCAGGAATGCAGCCATTATTCATTCATTAAGACTGACTTTTCTGAAGTGTTTGAGATAAAGGTGATGCTATAATTTTGAGCATCTTTTGCACATAGTCACAGAGGTAATGGCTTGTAAAATTGGCAGAAATTTTACAGGCCATTACTGTATAAAATGTAAAGTATCAGTTATGTGTCATGCATATCAACAGCTATTTATCCATTGTAGGTGTTCGGTAGTACAGTTCTTCAGTTTTATCATTTTCATTATTAAAAAATGTCCTTGGCATCAGTGTCGTGGGCGTCTTGGAAGACGATCCTCTCTGTGTTGTATGTTGAACAAATTTGGACCAAATCACTGCATCTTTTCTCTTTCAGCGAATGAGGAGTACTACCAGCTGATGATGGTCAATGACAGTCATCCCTCTGGCCTGGATGTTTCTTCTTACACCATAGAGGAGATAGACAGCATCACGTCAGAGTACACCCTCAAAAGCAACGTAAGACCAAGTCTTTGTTTTTTTCCTCTCCGACTGGTGCGCGTCACAGGTTTAAGATTTTTTATTTTTTTTTGGCATCTACAGGACATTTTTGCAGTGGCGGTGTCCCTGAGCACAGGAAAAATCATCTACATATCTGATCAGGCTGCCTCCATCCTAAACTGTAAACGAGATGCGTTCAAAGACTCCAAGTTTGTGGAGTTTCTGATGCCGCAGGACATCAGTGTGTTCTACAGCTTCACCACGCCTTACCGCCTGCCGTCTTGGAGCATGTGCACTGGAGCAGGTACCGAGAGCTACATGTCTCTCTCCAAACCACCGGCTAAGTCCAGACAATGTTCAATGTATGGATATTGTGTTGATGTTTGAGAAAGATCAACGAAACACTTTGAAAGTCCATTTATTTTATTATATGTATGCAAATCAATTTAGACTCTAATTTAGACAACACTGACAAACTCTTTTCTGCTTTTTTCCATTTTGTTACATGTGATAGCCACTCGTTCTTGAAAAATGCCTTTCAAACTTATTGTCACACACAGAATAGAATAGAATAGACTATTCTGAACTTTATTTCAGGGCATCAGAATAAGGGGAACGGCATAAAAATGCATGTTTTTAGATTTTCATTTGCAAAACGTTTTGAAAACCGTGTAACTTTTTCTCAGCTCGTGGTTGTAACATGACAGAATAAGATGCAGCTTTAGATTAGGGAAATAAATTATGCATTTGACCCCCTTTCATTTATTACATATTCAATGTGTGCAGGTTTCTGAATATTGCTTTTTGATGCATTTATTCAGACCTGATGCATCTGCTTTTGGCTGCATCCTGTGTGGATCGTGTTCCCTTTGAATTTACAGGTGTTTTTTTTGGGTTTTTTTTTCCTGTTTCAGATCCGTCTCCTTCTGACTGTATGCAGGAGAAGTCCTTTTTCTGTCGTATCAGGTGCGTTTTGCATCGGTTCCTGCACGTCAGGCCATCTGCTTGCGTATCTGTTTGTTGGTTTTATTCATGCATTTAATTCCACTGCGGATGTTTCTCATTTTGTATGCGAGTTCACATTCATGCAGGCCATAATAAGATGCTTTTTCCAGGTTAAACTGGAAGAAGCACTTTTTATGAAGAAACACAAAAAAATTAAAAAGAATTGCATTTGTAAAGGTGATTGGATTTTTCCTACTTTTGAAGGTTCAAAATTTAAGTTTGGTTTCTTTTATGTTCCTCGTGTCTGAAGTGAAAATTTGCTCCACACTGCCCCTTGTGTTCAATTTGCAAACTAAGAGTAGATAGTTTTAATACATAGTTGACTGAAACGTGCTGTTTTTTCTTGGGTTAACTCATTGCTAAATTGTTGTTCTGATATTCAGTGGCGGTAAGGAGTTCGAGGGTAATTTGCGGTACTATCCGTTCCGCATGACCCCTTATCTGATGAAGGTGCAGGATGTGGCTCATGATGAAGACCAGTTCTGCTGCCTCCTGCTGGCTGAGAGGGTTCACTCTGGATACGAAGGTAAAAACGCTGCTCAGACCAGAATATTAGCATACAAATATCTGAATTATTATTATTATTATTATTATTATTATTATTATTATTATTATTATTATTGTTTAAATATCAACAATTTCAATTGTTTTCCAAAATTTGCTTGCAGCACCCAGAATTCCACCTGATAAGCGCATTTTCACCACCACGCACACTCCAAATTGTGTATTTCAGGATGTGGATGAGAGGTAAGGTTTCAGTGCACTTTGTGTACGCTTGCAGCTCCTTGCAAATCTTTTCATGCCTTTTGAAGATTTTCACAATGAGTCGTTTTACAACCAAACCTTCTTCATATTCTTGGGGATTTCATGTGATAGAACAACACAAAGTGTAATCAAGCCAATCTTATTCATAAAGTTCTTTAAAAACAACAAGCACTAACCTAACAAATAAAAAACAGAATAAAACTCATGTAAAAGTAATAAGTAAGAATATACAAGGCATACATCAGGAAAAGTATAAAAATGACTAAAGAAACTGTTCCCTAACTTTGAAGCTGCAAAAGCAAATGCCCTTTGCTTTAAAAGTAGCAAAGTGAAAGGAAAGCAATGGTTTTAGCAGCTTTGTTGTTGTTCTTTTCTTCTTCTACTTTATTTTAGTCTATTATGTTGTGGTTGTAATGTGACAAAATCTTAAAAAAAAACAAAAAAACCTTAAAGGCCATTTTATATTCCAAATACTAAATGCGTAACACTAATAGAGATAATCTTTTCATGTTGTGTGTCAGGGCCGTTCCTCTCCTGGGCTACCTCCCCCAGGACCTCATCGGTACTCCGATTCTTTGCCACCTGCATCCCAACGACCGGCCCGTCATGCTGGCCATTCATAGAAAAAGTGAGCCTCCAAATCAAACAGATCTATATTCTTAGCTGATGCGTACGCCAAGATCTGAGTTTTAATTCTTCGTATTTTATACTCCAGTCATACAGTACGCAGGGCAACCATTCGACCACTCGTCCATCCGCTTCTGTGCTCAAAATGGAGAATACATCGTCCTGGACACCAGCTGGTCCACCTTCGTGAACCCCTGGAGCAGAAAGGTTTCCTTTGTTATCGGGAGGCATAAAGTTCGCATGTGAGTACTGCTCATGTTTTCTGTGCAGAAGACGGTTTTTACTGAAGTTTTGTATAGAAAAGTTTTATCAGATTTTAAACTGTCTTGTAAGTCATTAACTGTTGATGCATTTTTCCACCAGGGGCCCCATGAATGAGGACATTTTCATGACTCCGCTCTCATCCATGGGTCACATGAAGAATATGGACTCAGATATCCAGGAAATAACAGAGCAGATTCATCGGCTTCTGCTGCAGGTGAAAGAAGACGGCCACCTGACAATACTGTGCAAAAGTCTGCAGACTTTCTTTTAATCCTCTAAAGTAGCCTTGAATAGCAGTTCATCAGGCTTTCTGGATGTCTTTAGAAGTTTCTCTTTGGACTTTCAATTTTAATTTTAATCAAGCAGCTGAAGATAATCGAATATAAAAAATATAACCTTGCATAGGGTAAATGATCAACTGAAGGATGGTTCAGGTCTTAGGTTTTGTTTCAGATCTTTGCTGGATTTTATGGCTATTTCTTTAATGCTCAACTTTCAGATACAATTAATCTGCATTAAATAGTTAATTATCCTTGTTTGTGTTAATTCTCTCCTTAACTGTCACCGTCAAAATGATTAAACGCAAGTAGATGACAGTCAAGGGGTTAATAGATCACTAGAGAGTCTGATTCTGGAGCAAATTCTAAGTAATAACATATAGATTATAGAGATAAAGCAAGCACTATTCCAAAAAAGATTAAAACTCAAGACACATTTTGAGATATGTCAGCATCCCTTTATCTTGTTGTTTTTAAACTTTTTCTTCTTCTCTCTCCTTCCTTGATCAGCCGGTTCACAACAGTGGGTCGAGTGGTTACAGTAGTCTTAACAGCAATGAGTACCTTCAGGGCATGACCTCCTCCTCAAGTGAGAGCCTGAACAATGGAAAAGAAGGAAAAGTGCAACAAAAGGAAGGGGAGCAGACCATCAAAAGCAGACCTGTGAGTAAAACTGCACATACCTGTCTGATTTCACAGCACATTTATTTATTCTTATTTATTTATTTTTTTGCTAAATCCCTGAAACCACTTAACTGCAAAGTGAGCTTAGGGAACAACTCATTAGTACAATTTCTTCCAAAAGCGTACTTTTCAGGAAATTTGTAAGGGAATTCATCTTCAGAAGAACCATGAGCAGCAGACGGCAAAATCAGAACACAAACGAAGCAATACCAGTAAGTTGTTTTTTTGTTTTGTTTGTTTGTTTGTTTTTTTTTTTTTTATAATCCAGTTATTGTTACATTTACGTCTTTATTCAGAAACTAATTTTTTGGTCTGTCTCTGCTAGTGTCAGGACAGAACAGCCAGGCGGTTGTACGTCTCAAAGACTCGGCTCCCCCGATCAGCTGGAGGGAGGCCACCGCCGCCGCCGACAGTCGAGTCTCTTTTCACGAGGAGCTCGGCCTCAACGATCAGACTGTCTACTCCTACCAGCAAATCAGCTGTCTGGACAGTGTTATCAGGTACACAGATAAAAACGGACACTTTGACAAGCCAAGGTCCATTCTGCAGAAAAAGAAGCTGATCATGTCTTAAAACTGAAGGCTTTTAGTTTACCGAAAAGATTCTCAGTAAAATGCATTGAAACATTCTATTGAATCAAAAAGATTCAAGAATTGTGATCTTCTCTGACCTGTTCTAGTCCACGCTCCTGCAGTGAAACATAGTGCCAAACATGACCCATCTTAAAAATATGATATTGCCATTCACTAGCTCGTGATCATGACATCAGTGTTGTGACTGGCTCCTGCAGGTACTTGGAGAGCTATAACGTCCCTGTCATCATGAAGAGAAAATGTCAGTCATCCTCCAACACCACCTCCTCTAACTCTGACGAGGACAAACAGAAGAAGTCGCATGCTGTGCAAGTCTCTGAAGGTATGTGCTGCTGCTGCCGACCAACCAACAGACCAGATTTGCTATCTCTCCAAACAACACAAGAAGTTCTTTTGAGGATTTCACACTCTTTCCTGTGAACTTCTCATTCTCTGTCTCTCTCAGACGTCTCTCTAATGCCAGTGCCTTATCTGCAGCTGTTGTCCTCTGTTCTCTTTGGCAGAACCAACCTTATCGAAGGATCATTCCCGTATTTCTGCTTTGGATGATCCTCACAAAAAGACCAGTGACCCCGCCACTGCGGTAGTGGGCACTTCGATGCCCCTACCAGTGCCAAACAAACCAGAAAGTGTGGTGTCCATTACCAGCCAATGTAGCTACAGTAGCACTATAGTGCATGTTGGGGACAAGAAACCTCAGCCAGAGTCAGGTACAGTGGAGAAAAAAAACCTCCAGCCAGAATCTCTCTCAACATGTTTACACGAAACACTTCTGGTGACAAAGAATGTCTATATGCTGGTGATGTAATAAGTAATTATTTTTTACTTGTTATATCTTATTTCCTCAAAAAAGATCCTATCCTTCAGTAGTTTTGAAACATTTATGTACTATTTTTTTTTTACTATGTAAATTGCATAACATAACAAAAAAGAGAAAAGATAAAAATGCATGTTTTTGCAAAGCATCTTAACATGCATGTGTAGATACCACTGCCTCTGTGTTGCCTACAGGAAGACCCTTGGACACAGAAAGACATTTATTTTGTCTTTGTACTTTAGTTTTCATAAAACTCTCCAGGATATACACAGTCTTTGTCACCAGAATAATGTTAACCTTGATCTAAAGACGAAAGCTGCTGTCACACTGTTTCTTATCTTGCCACTCATGTTAATGTATCTGAAAACGTTTCTTTAACATGAGTTAAAATGTGAACTAATGAGGAGCATTTGGTGGAAAATCCCTTCATGTCATGCATGTGAAGAGTTTTTGTTGTTTTTGATGAGCTACAATTATTAGGCTGAATGGTGTCTGAGTGTCCCTGCATGGCTACCTATTTATTAGCTTTATTTAATGGAAAATGGATCCAATTCCCTGCCATGTCAACCATTTTTTAGCATTTAGCATGCTGATTTGAGTGAATCCTCACCATATAGGCCATCTACAAATCATGATATGGGATCATTTGCTGTTGTTGGGTTAAATAATTGGATCAATGGTGGCACAGTTATTAGACCTTGGACTTTGCATGTTTTTTTGTTATATGCATGGCTTGTTTCCTGTAAATGGGGATTTATACATGCAAAATTGTTTGCCCGTTGGCTGAATCTGGTTCAGTTAAGTAAATATTTAGATAATGCAGACTTTGATTCAATTATTTTACAGTGAACATAGTTTCTTTAGGACAGACACAACATGAGATTTGTGAAACCTTCGTTGTATTTGTAAAAACAAAAAATAAGCACAACCACCTACTTTGATTTAGACTTGGACTTTAGATTATTTTTAGTAAAAATGTTGAACCAAAACCTGGACTAATTTATTGAATGCTGTTTACAGATGCTTTAAAAAAAACTATTTGTGATTCATAAAACTTGTGTTTTAACCCATCCATCCATTCGTCTGGTCTTTGATCAGGATAGTCGGTGCATGTTTGTTGTGTGTGGGATAAAGAAAAATGGACTTACCAAAGGCACCATTTATGCAGGAACCACCACTGACCATAGAAACCCATGGAAAGACAGATACGAAATAATGTGACAGGAGTATAAAAATAACACAATTGAGAGCTAATTTTTATCTCCAAGTTCATACAGTTTTTAATGTTACAGTGCATAGCTAAACTAATCCTACGTACACTACGTATTTATCAGCTGGATACAGTAAGCTGGTGTGTTATTTTGATGTCTGTTTTTTTTATTTGTGCATTATTCTTATTTGTTAGATTTATAACCTTTACTCAAAAACCAGCATCGCCCTCTAAAGACTTATTCAAATGCAAAGAGCCTTTAATATGCTTTTAATTACTTTATGCAGTGGACAAATTAGAGTCCAGGATAAGTAGAAGATTAGCCAAGTAAACAACAGCAAATTGTGCTGTGGCGAAAATGTCAATACTGTTGTACATTGTGGGTAATGCTCTTTGAATGTCACGAGGAGTAATTGCTAAAGCATCCCTCAGTGAAATGGGAGACGCTGGCAGGAAGCTGATATGCCATCAACCGTTTCTTTGGCCTGAACACACATGTTTCTGCTGATGCTCTTTCTAAAGCACATCAGATATCAAAACCAAAGTTAAAGTTGCTAAATGTATAATGGTAGTTGTGTTAGCAACATTTCTTTGACTGTGAAATATTACATTTCTTTTACCTTATTAGGAGAGACTGACAACTACATTGTTCCAGATTTAGATGATGATGTATTTTTTTGTTTGAAGTATCCCACCCCTCGCCCCCACTCTATAAAATGTTCATTGGCAGGGTCAGATAGCCGTGCCACTTCATCCTATCGCTACAGCTTTAAAGGACCTGAGTTGAATGCAGGGAACGTACATGTAAGTCTGGTTGAAGGTTCAAGTGTTGGGAAGAAATTCAGTCTGGTGGCTTCAGACTTTCTGGCTGGTGAATGATCCCACCCTCAGAAACGTGTCACCGGTCGTTATCACTCAGCACAATGTAACATGAACAACAAAAATATTAAAATTCACAAAGAGTGCATATGTGCAGCTCTGACAATACTTATAAAGATCTAAAATGAGACCTTGAAATAAAGTAAATATTGTCACAATTTCATTTTTTTCTTTCTATTGTGCAACAGAAAACCCAAAGTGTGCAGTTGTTTGTGTTAGCACCTGATACCCCAGAGACAGGTTTCTGCTTTTGTGTAATATCCTGACACATCATTTGTTTAGCACTTAATTATAGGTTAGAGTTTTGCACATTTAGTACAATAACCACTTGGGCTATCAGTATTGTTGCTTAGATGTCATCTGTCATTTGTGATTTTGGTTTTGAGCAGCTAAGTTGTGAAATGTCAGAAAACCTGTTGGTATCTGCGTCTGTGCAAGCCTGTTGTCGACTCGTCTTTGCTTTGTTTGTCATCGTTGCAGACGGTTAATAGTTTCTTTGCATAATACAGCATGTAAACATTCCTGTCTCATTGTCATCCATGCAGAGATCACAGAGGATGTACCTGTTGCAGGAGACATGCCAGAATCCAGCCAGAGCATCAACACTCCTCGTCCAGTTTCACCTCCCAGCCAGGAGATGGAGTCCTACAAGAAACTGGGTCTGACTAAGCAGGTGCTGGCAGCTCATACGCAGAAGGAGGAGCAGGCCTTTCTCTGTCGCATTCAAGAGCTTCGAGGACTCGCTCCCCACAAAGCCAACAGCTCCCCGCCCCTGGACCAACAGAGAGATGAACGCACCATCACTGGTACCACTAAACAACACCGTTAAATAATGGTTAAATAGCAGATTAGATTTATCCCTCAGATGCACGGGGCTTTGCTAAAATACTCTACTTAAACATTTCCACATTTTGTCAAGATCAGAACCACAAACTTAGATTTATTTTCAGATTTTGTATGGCACAATTCTACACAATTAGTGCACATCTGTAAAGGGGAAGACAAAAGTTTGCTTCCTAAACTTTTTTTTTTTTTTTTTTTTTTTTACAAAAACTGCAAATTTCACCTGATTTACTCTGGTATCCTCAAATAGCGTTCAGTGTAACCACCTACCTTCACCTAACTAGTAAAGGTCAATTGTGTGTTATTTAATCTCAGTATAAATACAGCTGTTCTGTGAAGGCCTCTGAGATTTGCTTCAAAACTTTAGTAAGAAAATAAAACAAGAAAAATCATGAGGACCGAAGAATATATTAAACATGAAAGTTGGGGGGGAGCAATAAAGCAGGGCTGGGTTAAAGGACTCCAGGTTCTTTACTGTCATATCATATATGCTTCCGCATAACACAATATGAAACTGAGTTTCAAGGTGCCAGATAAAAACACACAAAAGACAACATGGCTAAACTGAAAGGCATAGATAAATAAAATAAACAATAAAACTACAGGCAACTGTACAATAATTGTGTAATAACACAATTTGGCTGGTTTCTGAGATTTTTGAGCTCTCTGAGCTCAACAGTCTTACTGTCACAGGGTAAAAGCTGTTCCTGTGCCTTGTGGTTCGACATCTGATGCTTTGCAGCCTCCTATCAAAGGGAGCGGGGAACAAACCACGTGTTTGTCAGGTGGATGGTGTCCTTAAGCTGCTCCCCACCATCTTCTGTGCAGAATTCGCACCTTTAGCAGAGCGGTTGCCATGCCAGAGAAGAGATCCAGGAGCACATGACATTCTCCACCACAAACTGGAGGGGCTTTAGGACAAACAAAACAAACAAAAAAAAAAACATCCCATGTTCTGAATATCTATAGGAGCTCTATCAAATCATTCACCTGCAGGCGGTATTTCATTAAGGCCATGTTTAAGAAGATGCGCTGGTCAAATTATACCAAAATGTAAATTTTTGGCCTCCAAAAAAGCGTCACACATGGCAGAAAATTAACACCACATGTCACACTGAACACACCAACCCACACAGTGAAACATGGCGGTGACAGTGTCGTTCTGTTGGGATGCTTTTCCTCTGCAGGGAGGTCAGTCAGAGATGATAGTGAGATGGACTGACTCAAATACAGGGAGTATGTAATTTAAAAAATAAAAGTCTTTTATAAATTTGTTTAAACTATGTAAAACTGTGGCAAAACAGTATGCTATGAGACAGGTAATCTGTGAAGGAAATCACACTTCTCCTGTGCTAATGGTGGAGAAACAGCTTACCAGTCCAGGAAGTCTAACTAACCCGAGTGTTCATGGCAGACTCCGTTGTTGTGAACCATCTGTGGTGTAGCAGAGAGAAACAGTTAGGCTGTGAGCAGCGCATACATGAGGATGATTGAGAGCACTAAGACACTCCTCCTGGCTCTGATTGGTTGTCGCTGACCAAGTGGCGTATTTCCACATCACAGCTATTCACTACTTTATGTTGATTTGTGGTTGTAATATGACAAAATGAGAAATGGTTCAAGGCGTGCGAATACTTTTGCAAGTGTCTTTCATTTGCATTCATTCTTTTAATTATCTGGTAACTTAATGTCTGTACAAAACAGACTTCTTATTCGTAATTATTTCAAATTGGAAAAATACAAATAGTTGTATTAACCATAAATGACGGCCAGTTATAAAGAGACTCTCCTGATGTCAGTGTTGACAGATTGGCTGGAGACCAAAGGAGGCGTTAATTAATTGGTTAAATCATGTAAAAAATTAATTACACATTCAAATGTCAGAAGCCAAAAATAATGTCTTTTATTCAAATAGCTTTGTTTCTAAACATTTCCTTCATCAATCTACAGCTGCGCACACTGTTCAACCCAGAAAGCAAGAAGGTCAGAAACCAGAGCCGACGCCGCGCCGAGGAACACGAAACAGGAAGACCAAAACCAAGAGAGCGAAGCTTCTCACTTCTCCGAGCGCCGCGCCTGCCCCTCACAAGGAGCGACCGCAGCAGCTGCCCCCTCCTCAGACGAACAAGAGCCATGCGCAGACCCCGGTGTCTCCATCTGATGCCTCACAGCCCGCTTTCCCCGCACCATATCCTGTAATGCTGCCAGGCTACCCAATGCAGATCTACGCCAGAACAGATTCTGCGTTGTCACGCACAGAAGCTCCGCCACAAGACTTGGGGGATAACCAGGGTGCCCAACTCCCTTTGTTGTCCCCGGGCGCTCAGTTTGCCCCCGTAACCTCTCATATGGTCACACCTATTATGGCTTTTGTGCTGCCCAACTACTTATATCCTTTAATTGGACATCCAGCACCGCCGGTGCCTATGTATCAGGTAGACGCTGGGGGTGTCCCGATGCAAGCGCCAACTTTTGATCAGACTGCTTTCCCAAGCCACGCCGCCTTCGCAAGCCCACCTTTCGTCAACAGTCAGAACCAGCTCAACCCGACGTTAGCATCCTACCTGCCGCCGCCTTTCTACTTCCCTTCCTCCCCTGATGCCCCGAAGCCCCCGGCGGAGGGCCGCTCCCGCTCCTCCACACCGCAGTCTGGTGAAGGTGAAGGCCAGGCGTCCCCGCCTCTGTTCCAGTCCCGCTGCAGCTCGCCCCTGAACCTGCTGGAGCTGGAGTTCTCCGTGGACAGGCAGGACAACGCGCCTCACGCTTCAGTAGGACAAGGGAGTAACGCGGCTGAGAGGGAGAAAGGAGCAAGCGCCAGCAAAGCAAAGGAGAGGGAGATGAAAGAGGTAAACGGGGAGAAAGAGAGAGAGAGGAAAAAGTTCTGGTAATACTTTATTTGAAGGGGTGTGAATAAGACTGACATAACACTGTCATAAACATGACATAACACCTGTCATGAACATGAACAAGTCCTTATGAATGTCTATGACTGTTGCCATGAAGTGTCATTCAGTAAATAATGGTACTTTTAATGAAAAGTTGCTTTAAAAGTTGCATTAAAAGTCAATTAAAAGTGCCAACTTTGCATGATTTTGTAAATAATGACAATTTAATGCAAGGTTGGCACTTTTAATGGACTTTCAATGCAACTTTTAGAGGAACTTTGCATTAAAAGTGTCATTATTTACCAAATGACACTTCATGACAACAGTCATAGACATTCATAAAGACTCGTTCATGTTCATGACAGGTGTTATGTCATGTTTATGACGGTGTCATGCCAGTCTTATTCACACCCCTTCAAATAAAGTGTTACCAAAGTTATTTTATGTCATTGTGTCGTCCTCGTGTCTTTCATTGTTTCTGGCTGATGTTCTTCACATGTGACCTCTGAAAATATACACTCATTTCAAAATGATGTCCCCTCCCCAAATATATTGAGCTGTGTGCCTCGTTTTCCCGTTAGGGATTTATTCCCACCACCACCTGGATTCTTAACATATTCCCAGCAATAAACTGACAGAGTTTCTTTTATATGTATTACAATGTGTAAAATCAAGTGAGCTAAGACTCCTTAGATGAATTGTGGCTTTGGGTGTTAATGATACTATTATCCCTTACACCCTTTAGCCCTCTCTCAGTCTACTTGGTCCACCTGGACCCTTGTATTTCCAACCCACATCCTGTGTCTGTGAGCGTTTGTCTTGGGATAAAGTGTGGTCTAGGCTTGGGGCTGGCAGCAAAGAGGTAGGCAAATCCTCAGAAAAACTCAACATTCTCTAAATCCCATTCCTTCCAGATTCCATGTCATTTGTAAAAGCTTGTTTTTTTTTTATGTTCGTATGTCACTTGTATTTTACCCTGTAATGCTTTCCTTTGTTCAACAGATAGCTAAGACTGAAAGTATTAAAAGTAAAAATAGTAAAAAACTAAACAGTTCAATTCTGTGGGATTGCAGCTGTACTTAGACTTTATAACGCTTCCTTCTGTAAGCTGACTGTGAAATACGGTGCAAGCTCAACTTCAATCCGAAGCACAGAGCTTTAAAGAAATGTTCACAGACATCCATGTTTTTGTTTTTGATTGGGAATTTGTATAAATTTCGAGTGAAATGATAGATGCTTTTAAAATTGCTTTATGCAGATGTTTGCAGCATGTGATCAGTGTGGACCTTATCACATGATCAGGTCCGCGTTGGGAGGTTGTCCGTTTTACTGGGAGCTTTTGGATGAAATTTATTGGACAGAATGTGCTGACGATTTTGAATTTGTTTAATTTTTGCCACTTCGGTATGGAAAATACATCTGTGGGTTGAACAGAAATTGGATGACAAAACAGTATTGGTCTCTTTCCAGTTTAAGCTCAGAACAAAATATACACTCCAAATAAAGATCCGTCTAGATGAGCTAACTATAAAATTTATTTTTCCTAACAACTTGATTTTTTAACTAGGTGCTTCCAGCTCTTGTCTGCTGTCTTTGCAATCAAATCAAGATGTTACCACCTCTTTGCTTTCTGAAACTTTTCAATGATGAAGTGTCGCCATGCGAAACACTGAATGCTTGGTGTTCGTATTATTCGCTTGCAATTCAAGCAGTTCTTTGTAATACGCTATCAGATTCAGTGATGCTTTGATAATGATGAATTTGCGATATATTGTGCAGCACTAATTCAGTTTTGCTGTTTTTTTCCTTGGTCTTTCCTCTCCATCCACTTTAGAAATGACAAAACAATAAATCTACATTGACAAAATCCCTTTCATGTTCTTATAGTTGCACCTGTCTCTGTGCATTGAAGAGACTCTACATAGATTTAAAAAAGTGTAATCGCAGTAGCAAAATCTCCGCTCTTTTTCAAAAAAAAAAAAAAGGATAAACGGCTATGACCAGTTGAGATGGCGACGTCATGGTCGAGCGGGAACATATTCCCGGTACTGAGAGTTAGAGCAATATTAATACCAGTGCTGTAATATGTGTGATTTTTTGCAGAGGAGCGACGAAGGTAACAACAGCGATGTCATCTCAACATCCAGCGACATGCTGGACATCATCCTTCAAGAGGACTCCTGTTCAGGCACCGGCTCAGCCACCTCCGGCTCCATGGGCTCCGGCTCTAACGGCTTTGGGACTTCAGCGAGCGGGAAGTCCAAGAGCAGGACGTCGGCCAGCGGCGCCTCGGCCAGTGAGACGTCAGGCAGTTTTTCAGGTCTGCATTCAAACGTCAGCTTTCAAAAGAAAAGCAAACAAAAACACAATTTTTCACACCCTCAGCCGGGGGGAGGCTGCTAAAATGATTGCAGCATACAGAGAATAAAACATTAAAGTCAACATAAGGGGCTTTTTTTATTATTATCTTTTAACTTGTTTGTCATAAAAATATGTGGCGCTTGTTTTTTTGTTTGTTTTTTTTCCAGGAAGCAACAACAGCAGTAAATACTTTGGCAGTGTGGACTCATCTCAGAGCAGCCAGAAGCTGCTCCTTAGGAGCAGTGAGGAAAGACCAGCAGAGACAGGATGTGTCCTGCAGGACCCCGTCTGGCTGCTGATGGCCAACACAGATGAGAAAGTCATGATGACCTACGAGCTGCCCTCCCGGTGAGTCGAAGGACAGGCGCAGCCAGCGAGGAGTAGGAAGGAGGTTCTTGTTATCACTGTGGTTTGAAACTTAAGCAGCCTCTGGTTGGATCAGAAATGCAAGGAAACATTCAAACATTTGAATTTCTTCTTTGTGGTATAATTCTTTGACTATAGCAAAAGATGTATCCAGGTAACTGAAAGTCACAAATGCATACCAGGTGCCTTCTATAATCTTGTAGGAGGAGATTGACTGCTGTCCTGTTGCATAAAACATCAGGAGACCAATTATCGTGGCACTGATAATTTTATTTTAAAAAAGAGCTATTTCAAATATGTTGTACAGGTTTTTTCCAAACATTATAGGTTTATTTTTGCTTTACACACAGAAATGAAATTATTCAACAACAAAAAAGTCATTAAAATTATTACCCCTTTCAAGAACTAACCTTTTTGCACAAACCATTGTTGTGGCATGATGTGTGTGAAGTTACAATAGATGGTTTTAGTATAAAGACCAGACTAACGGTTGTATCTGTCATCGGATAAAACATCAGGTCAAGAACTAACCCAGTTGGTCTGAACTTGAGAAAAAAGAAAAAGGAGTGTTGGTGTGCAGTCAGCAGTAGGAGAAACAGTTGTTGCCTTGTTTCCAAAATGTCAAGAATTAGAGTGAGAAGGCAGAGGCAGGAAGCAAAAGATTTAAGAGACCCTGGAATGAGAACTAGCGAGAGACGTCAGTAAAATCTGCCAAGACATAAAGCAATGGTCAGGAATTGTTGTCACGAATATATGACAACAATTGGATTGAAAGGATGCAAGAACACTACTTTTTCCACAAAAAAAAAAAAAAAAAAGATTAACGCTCTCTCTTCCAACATGACAACACTATGTTTTTACTGGTGAAGGACTATCTCCAGACAATTAAAGTGAGCGCCACTGACTGACCTGCACAGAGACTTGACTCAACTGAACTGAAGATGAAGGTGAAGCCAAAAGGCCATTCAATCTGACTAAAACTGAAAGAACTGCTAAAGAAAAACAGGCTTGGGATTCCTAAGGAGAATAAATGTATTTCTTTTTTCTTACTTGTTTTACTTTCTTCAAAAGAGTTGCAGATAGGATATGTCAATAATAAAATTACATCATATACCTTATACATTTACACTCTGTTATTACAGTGTTTAATTTAAAGTAGGACTCGAATCTGATTGACATGGAACCACTTCTGTTCATAGCAGTGTCAGCTTTAGATTTAAAGACGTTTGAATCATTTAAACCTGCTGTAGTGACATTATTTAACCAGTAGATGGCACCCTAGTGTTAAGGCTGACATTGGTTCAATGAGCCTCATAATGAGAGACATCAAATTTTGTTGGTTTTCACTGCAGGGATGTTTCAGCAACTTACACACTTATGACAAAAATGGGATTCTGATATTTTGAGTGTTTTAAGTTGTTCATGATTTTATGTTTTCTTATGTCAACTTCATTTGTAATGATTATTACCTTGTGTGTGTATTCCTGAGTTGATCTGCAACACATGGTGGAAAAAAAACAACAACAAAAAACCCTGGGGAAAAACTTAAGCCACTCAAGGCCGATGGATAATGTTACAAATAAAAATGTCATGTACGGAATAAATCTGTAATTCAAAACAGGTGATGTCAGTAATTATTCCTTAGTGTAAATGTATCAACAAACGAAGATTGTTACTGAATAAATGTGTGCCGCAAAAATATGCAGTTTCCCTTTGGTGTTTCGATACATCCATTCGAAGTTTTTCGACTATACTAGATGAAATATATATGAAATGACACTCTACATCATGGTACCTAAACATGTCAAAGTAACATTTTACAGCAAAACATTGCAGGATTACATTACACAAATGCCAGCTTTAGCAGTTTACATCTGCAACAACTAAAAGCTGCTATATTAATGTCATGTAGAGGGAGCGCTAAGTTCTCTGCGCTAAGAAGCCTCTGTCATTAACCATACGAAATGGAAATAGTCTATTCCAACTAGACCTTTATTTGTTTTGTTTTTCACAGAATGAGCACAACAGGCTTACATCATTCTCAGTAACTTAACGATTCTCTGATGTCTTTTACTTATTCACAGCCGTTAGCAAAGTTTACTTAATCTTCAGCTTTAATGCACCTGTGTGTTGCAGATCAAAATGAATTATTATATATGTTGACAAGAAAGTTGCCACTGTCTATAAATAAGAAAAAACCGAAGAATGATTGCTTACCCAATTTTTGCAACCTTTTTTGTGTGTGTGTGTGTGTGTGTGTGTGTGTGTGTGTGTGTGTGTGTGTGTGTGTGTGTGTGTGTGTGTGTGTGTGTCTTCCAGGGACACTGGCAGAGTGCTGGAAGAAGACAATGAGAAGATAAGGGTGCTGCAGCAATGCCAGCCCCACTTTTCAGTGGACCAGAGGAAGGAGCTGTGCGAGGTCCACCCCTGGATACAGAAGGGAGAGTTACCCAAAGCCATCAACGTTGAGGTAGAAAATATATATATATGTTTCATTTTAACACATATTGCTCCTATTGGCATGACTTTGAAAAGCTTTTATCATTTTTTTTTTTACAACTTTCCTGTCACAATACAGCTCCAATTTGTAGTCTGTGGTAGTTATATTCATTTCTATGATGTAAATTGAAAAATATAAGTGGAAAAAAAAAAGAGTCAAATGCAAAGCAATACAATAAAACAACTGAAAGCTTAAACTTAGGCAAACAATGATTATTATCAGCCTTTTCTTGTATTTATATGTTTTGTGTCTCTCAACTTCACTCCTTAATGTAGGATTTAAACCCATTTGTGACTTCCAGGGATGCACCTGGTGTGACAGCACCTCAGAGACTGCAGCAACAGTTGGAGTGGAAGACCAGCCAGATTTGGGACTGGGCGATATGGAGACCGGAGAGCACTGCTGCCCCGAGAGGCTCAGAGGCGAACCTTTAACCTCTGCCACGATCTCCTCTCACTCTAGTCCTCCTTCAAGCTGCAACCCGCGGGCAGAAGAAGCAAATCAACAGGAGTTTTAAAGAAACTGCTGCTCCGCTGTAAAGAAGAAGCTGCCTTACATGAGCCGTTTTGCTCTGCGTCGCGGTACAATCTGTGCATTTGTAAAATGTGAACATCTGCGGTGATCAATTTCGTTTTATTTTTTTAGCTGCATCAGGCAGGGTCGCTTCGTTGCTTCTGGGATAAAGGCCGGGCTTTGTGACTCTACGCGTTTAATGATTTGCCTTCTTTCGCACATCGCAGTGCGGCACCTTGAAAGAATTTCATGCACTGATTATAGGAGATAAAACATGTGACAAGGGAACAGCACAATGCTCATAATCATGCTCAAAGCATGCCAACAGATGCCAAGCAAACACATGCCAGACTGTGAGACAGTTAATGAAATCAGTATTTCAGGACATTTTCCCAGTTAAGTTAGGTGAGGTGAGAAAAAAGTAGAGGTTTGTTTTTTTGTTTGTTATTTTATTTATTAATTTTTTTTGTTTAGCAACAAATTACTTAGGTTCTGTTGTTATTCATTCTCATAAGGTACTGACTGGACATATATGTGCACTTTTTTGGTGCTAAAAGGAAGAATTATTGGTATTTCTACAATTGCTCAAACTCATTTTTGGGACTGGAAAATTCAAACCTGTTAAGCTATCCATCATTTCAGTCCCTTCTCCGCCACATAAAAACATGCTCTGATTCTTGCCTTTAGTGGAGTAACATGCGGTCCGTCAAACCTGACATAAAGGCCAGCTATTCATAATATATTTTACCTTGTCTGGTTATTTAAGAAGCTCCAGACTGAATGTGAGCCTGGTTTGATTTTTTTTTTTTTTTAATTGATTGTTTTATCCGACACTCTGTAAATTATTGAAGCTGAGAGCAAGCTGGCCCATGGTAGTAAAATGAGAGTAATGGGAAGAAAATGTGCAATATTTCCCTCTGAAATGCCATAAAGCAGAAACCATATCCCACCTAGTGAAAGCACATGCAATACTGCAGTATTTATTAAGCTGATCGGAATATTTTAACAGGACGTGACTGAGCATGTGCACAACGCTGCTTTAAACTCGGTTGTAGTGTTTCAGAAATATTTTTTGTTTTTCTTCGGAGCCATGTGTTACCAAACTATTCTTGATGTGGGTTCGGCATATTTTAGTTATGAAATGTATCAATTGTTTCAGATGTGAAATTCTTATTTCTTTGCTGAAGTTGCACGGGTTAATCTTTGAAAACGTCTTTGAGTATATACATTTGTATATATTTTGGATACATGCTTTTTGAAAACTATATAATGTGTTTCTTAAAAAAACAAAACAAAACAAAAAAACTAAATTATAAAACAGACAGGACCAAGAAAACTAATGCTGACTGCAAGTCAGAAAGGGAAAAATAACTGTGTGGTTGTTTACAGTGGATAAGGTTGGTAGAGTAAGAGATGACACAAGCTCATTATAAGCCAAAAACCTGAAAGGTTTGTTATTATTTTAGAAACTTAAGATGCCTGGGGGGTTTTTATTTTATAATTTCACACGAATCCATGCTATTTCTCTGTAACTTTTCTGAATGTGTCATTAGTCTGTCTTCTATTTCAGCAGTCTTCTCAAGCACCTTTCTTTTTCGAGTCCTTATTTTTTCTTCGTTCAATGAAAAATAAATATTTTCTTGAAATAAAAATGTTTAATTTGAAAACAGCATTGTTTTGCATATTACCTACGGCACTTTCACGTCCACATATCGTTGCCTTGTGTTTTTTTTTTTTTTTTTTTTTTTCCTGTATGCACATTTTTGTTAGTGCGACATTGATAAAACAGTAAAAGTTATAATTAAAAGATTGATAGATATAGGTAAACACCAGGGCTGGTTGTCCAAGCAAATTCAGTACAATAGAAGACTGCAGGACGCTAAAGAAAACCTCTAAAGCCTTCAAATGTTATCACAACACAGCAAGTGCTCACAAATGTGAGACAGCGAGTTTGTCCGATCTGAAAGACACTGAACAAGTTCATCATTCGTTGTATTTGAGCAAGGAGGAAATCTTTGTGCTGTAAAGGTAAGCCTAATGTTTGTTAAATAAAATTCAGTCAGAGCCCTGAACTCCCGGAAAAACATTTAACACAACGGATCATGCTGCATGCGAGGAGAAAAACTTTATCGTTGCTGTGAAGAACGGAGGTGGAAGTGTCGTGGTTATTGGCTAAACAAAGTAACTGAATACACCAAAAATTCTACCATCAAAGGTGTCAAAGGCAGAAAGTGTGACATCTGCGTCAGAACTGAACTCGGAAACATCGCAACGGCCCCAAACATGCCATAACTCCACCTTTCGAAGAGCAAAGAAGTGGAAGCTCCTGTTATAAGCCCAGACTTTGATCTCATTGAGAAGCCCTCGGGTCACTCGAAGGGGATTAAGGTTAACCTTAAAACGTCTCAGAGGTGAAGGTGAGGAGTTGGGTGAACATTCCTCAAACCAATGTCAGAGGCTGACTTTTTACTCAGAATACACAGCTGTGTTGACGTCTTTCAAACAACGAACAAAACTAGGAGAACTTGCTGTTTAGCTCCAATTAAATCACTTTCTTTGTCAGATATGGCCTGGATAAATAAATTAATTAATTAATTAATTAATACATTTGGGAACATTTCTTTTGAAAGAACAAAACGATTGATGTGGCGTACAACAATACAAAAAAACTGAACGAAAAATGTCCACTTGTTCATTTGACTAAATATTCGTTTATAGGCTTGTTGGACTTTGGACCCACGTCATGATGCAGATGGTCGGATTGCCAAGGCCTTTGATCGACAAACTTTAAAGTGATATGACCACTAGATGGCGATAAAATGCATTAATATAAAAGAATGCGCCAATGACGCTGCAATTCGTATTCAGATTAGATTACAAAGAGCATGCATAATGTTAAAGTTTTCCTGTCCTGTGGTTGTGACTTTCATTTTCCTGATGCAAATCGATGTCTGTCTGACTGAAAAGCTACGGAGACTACTCTGCTGTCAAGTCCTGACAGACAGATCCTCCACATCAAAGCGGCCTTGTTCACCGTCTTCTTTCACACCTCGCATTTCATGCAAATACAAGTGTGGAGTTGGTAGTTGTCTTAATCTGAACAAATTGTGGAGTAGAACCAGGCTTTTTATTATTGTTATTATTTCATGCATTCTTTTGGTGGCGTAAATAAACAAGCTATATGATTGCTTGAGTTTGCAAAGTGCTTGATAAGGATGGCGCGTTACCGTAATCCACCGCTCACACCCTCTACCTCGCATGTTAGGCTACAGATTTAGAACAAGGTGCAAATTGCTGGCCTGCTGCGCTTATTTACATCTGCTGATCTGCAAATCCGGTCTTTCTTTCGTTCTTTCTTCTTGAAACAATGAAGTGAAACCGTAGTTGTTTCACATGAACAAGAAATACTTCAACAGGTTTATTATTATTATTATTATTATTATTATTATTATTATTATTATTATTATTATTATTATTATTATTACGTAGGCTATATATGTTCTTGCATGATGTTAGACAAATACTGCGTGACAAAGAATGTGTGTTTCTCAAATATATGCATATATATTTTTTGAAGATTATACTTCAGACGTGTCCAAACATTCTCCAAGCAGCCAATCGTCAGTATTACGTCTGGTGAATACAGAGAATACAGCATTTGTATTCATGAGCGGAGCTTTTCATATTTTAGTCACTTTACGTTTCACATCACATCAGTTTTCAATATTCTCAACTGTATTTATGTCTTGACTTTATTCTAACACATGGATATATTTCGATCTAAACCGGCTGTCGCGTTTTTTTTTTGTTGTTGTTTTTTTTTTGGAAAGTGATGTCTTTTGCAGCCTCTTGACAGGTTGCCCACACCTTAGTTCTGCCACATCTATGGTTCACCGACAGCGTGTGTTCCGGGTAGTGTGTGGAGTGATAGTTGAGGAGTGATAGTTTTGTGTTAGCCACAGTTTTTTTTTTTTTTTTGCATAACCTGCAATAAGATGGACTTCTCATGAATTTCTGTTTGCCACTCTTCCAAACAGACCGTCTTTGAGGATCTCTGCATCTCCTCCAGAGAAGCATTGGATTATTGCCTTTTTCTCTGATTACTGGACTGGGATGTTTCCACTTTGGCAATTCTCTCTTTATTTTGAGATGAAGGACAATGTTTTATAACCTAACCGTGCTTTCAACTTTTCCACAATTGCATTACTGATCTGTCTAGGATGTTTACCGATGTTGTTTGTTCACTAGTGTTCACTGACAACCATTTTTATACCGAGGTGGAAGCCAATCTGCTGCAATTCACTTTATTTAATGGTAAATAAAGGGGGCCACACAAACATAAATGCCCCACTTTACAGATTTTTAATTTGCAAAATACATTTTCCTTCTAATTTACAGTTGCACACTGCCATGTGTTGATCCTTCCCGAAAAAATAAATAAAAATAAAAAAAATCAACGGGTATGGAACCTTATCAGTGGTGCTGTAGAAGGATTATTTAATTGTATTAATATTTCTCCTGTCATTTTCTAAATTGTCACAATCACAAGAGCTGGTAGAGGTGTTAGGACCATTGACTGCAAAATAATTGACACTCAGTGAATATTGCAGGAACATAGGAGATGACAAGAGACCAAAGATGGATTCAGAGCGTTCTCAGAAGTACTGTTTGATCTGAAATCTGGAAGAGCTGAGTAACATTTTCCCTTCACATCTTCCCTTCGCTTTTGATCCTGAAGCCGTTCAATAATTTGCTATTGAACGCACACCCAAAGGGCATTACAGCCTAATTCGGTACATTATGACAAACTGGTGCTTATAGGAAATTGATTCTCATGACCATCCATGTATCCAAGGTATTAAAAAAAAACATATAAAAGCTGAGCTCAGAGCTATAAAACCCATTTGACATGTTCAGAACGAGGCCTAGAAAAGGAGCGATTACTCATTTCACACCTCACAAATGCCTACGACGTGCAGAGAAATCTTCGAGCGAGCGAAAGAGAGAGAGGGAGTGTTCACACAATCTGGCCCACAACTGCAGAGTAAATCTTTGTAACAGACGAGGGTGGGTGGTTAGTGGGATCGTTCTGTGTAAAAGTCGCTTTTTAGGAGCGAGAAAGGTGCATAAATAGAATGTCCACAGAGGTCTTTGTTTAAAAAAAAAGTTATTTATTTAAACTGGATGAGGTAGCTTACTAATGCACTATAAATACGCAGTCCTCGACTTTCTAAATAGGAAATAATTTAACAATGTATCTGGAGAGGAACAATTAAATGTTAAAACAAGTACATATTTACAAATGCATTCACCACCTTATCAAGGTGAGCCTGTACACTTTTAAATGCAGAATGTACACATCAATGATCTCTGCAACTATTTTTATTACATTTTACAACATTAAATACTTCAACTGCAGCTTTAATACATTTTTGCAAAGAGCTTCTTTATGTCTTAGCTGAAGTGGTTCCCTAGCTTTTTTTTTTTTTTGAAGACTTAAAAAATTTTTAAAGTAATGACATAATTTTAAAACAGGACAGAACAGGACAGGGATCTTGATTCCTTGAGTGTTTATTGGAACACAATGCTATGTTAATAGGTACTGATATGGTAGGATGTCAGAAAACCAGTGCTAGCTGCTGTTCTGCTAAATGACAACCATAGCCAGTTTTAGCAATAGAAGTCCAGACTCATCCTGCATGTCTAACTGCAATTAGTCTGGTATAGAAAATATTCACAAATGGACATTGTACAGTACTCTGTGAGTCAGCGTTTCAATTAAATAGAAGTGCAATTATATGGAGCGTCAATACCACCAACGCAACAGTGTAAGAGTCATAGCCTTAGACATATGGTTCTCAAACTGTGGTGCATGTATGACTAGTGACAGGTGGACTGACAACAGTGGTTTTCAAAAAGAAAATCTTGAAATAATTGTTCATAAGGTAAATGCAAGCACATTACCTGTTCATTAAAAACGTTGCCATATGCTAATTAAAAAAAGACTGTACAACATTGTGTGTGACTTAGTTTAATAATACACAAGTTGCCAGATGTACTAAATTTAATGTCAGGGCAGCCATATTGGATTGTGAGGTTGGAGATTGTAAGCACCCACTGACTTTACCATTGGGGATTTCAACTTTCTTTTAATTAATTAATTCTTTTTCAACTTTAAACTCAGAAATTTGAACTTATGTGTAAAAATGGAGGATGTATTTAAAACGCATTTTTCAACCAATCATGCATTGCCAATAAATGAGAATGACTGAATGATTTTGAGAATGATTTTGTGTCTCTATGACACAACCCAGCAAGTTCAAAAGATCCAAGTTCTGTTCTATTACTGTGTTAAAAAGCCTATCAAGATGGTGGTACTTGGAGAAATCACGAAGATAGTATATAATAAAAAATAAAAAAAAGAGAACCACTGTCAGAGACATTGTACTGTTGCCCATTCAGGGATGTTTTGTAGTGAACTACAGCCTATCCGGTACATTCTAGCAATAACCAATAATCAACTAGTTTACACAAGCCTCTTCAAAGTTCTTTACCAAGGTCTCCACATTGGCTTTGAGAAAGTCATGCCAGACGATGCGTGCTGGCTAGCTACCTCCTCTGTGGAGGAAGCTTGGTTTTGCTCCGAGTCCGTCTCATCCAGGTCGGAGCTCAGGTCGTCAGTGGAGGTGTTGGAAGTGACCGGGGACACCACTCTGGCGTACATACTCTCAGGGAGGGGCCGAGCGCTACTACAGGCTGGCTTGTTTTCATCAAGATGCTCCTCGTCATTAAGGGGCATCCTCTCCAGGAGGTGGTTCAGCAGCTCAGATGCAATGGCGGGGTCTATTCCAGGGCAACAGGACACAAACGTGTGCACATCGTGCATGCACTGGATGTAGCCGGCGGCGAAACGCTCCTTGGCCTCCCTGTTCAGAGTGTCCACCTCTGGAGAAAGACATACAGCAGCCACAACGGTATTTTAAATGTCAAATAAGGCAACCACTGTGGTCTCAGTAGTGTCTGAGCCAAACTATTGATTGAGTATGCGAGCAGTACAAGTCAGTCAATCTGTTGCAACATTATGGAATTTTGGTAAATTATTGAAAAACATCATCATTAGTGTTGCTACCAACAAATCTGCTGTTTGTGCTCCAGTCCTCTCACTGGCGCTGAAGTCCCTTGTTACGTTATTTTACCAACTGGGGGTTTTGAGTACTTCTGATGATAAACCAAACAACACAAAATATTATTTTTATTATATATTTTTAAAAAATATATCATTGTTACTGTTTTCAGCAAAACTGGGTTTATTGAATATGCTTTGTTGCAACAAAACAATATTGAGTAATTTAAAAAAAAAATCTACTTATTAATCTCTTAGTCTATGTTCACACAGCAGGCAAATGTGACCCAAATCCATTTTATTTTTCCCACCTGTGACCCATATAGACCTTTTTCATGTCAGTCTGAATGGCCCTATTCAGATCATTTCACTCCCGCCCCCCAAATAACAATCTGATTTGTGCCAATTCAATGTGTGGTACTAAATTAGATAATTTTCAAAGTCTGAACAGCCATGTCTCATTTTATCAGACTTTGACGTCGTTGATGTTAAGGGCGCATCATAATTCTGCACCAGAAGAAGCTAGCCACACTAAATCCTGACGTAAATAATGGGTGAAAATTTTAACTCTGCAAAATACAGAACTATGAAGAAAGTCTGAGTCAAGTGAAGAACGTGACATCACAATCCCACCACTCCTGGTAGCCATCAATACTCAAGGCCATCACGATTAATTGTGTTTTCATTTTTACCAGCTCTAATTGATCAGCAACTTTAAAATTGATAATATATTGTGAAAAATGTATATACTCTGTATATTGTGTATACATAGTATACACAATATACATGCATGTATATGCATGTTTGGTTGACTTATCTGTAGGTCATCATGACTTACAGATAAAGTCATGTTTCATGTTTATCTGTAGGGATAATCAAGACTTTCTCCATGCCATGCATAATTTCTAAAAATAATTACATATAAATAAATGACGGGTGATTTGTTCTTAGATGGTCATGTTTCATTTTTGAGGGCTAGTCTTTGATATACCTATAAAGTTAATGTGCTAAAATTGTCCTGACACGCATGTATATATTCATACATTCATAAATTTACATGTATTTCTTAAGGAGGATCTCAAGACCCTGTACTTGTCAACTGGGGACCTCAACTGAGGTTACAACTCAAATGTTGGGATGATAATATGTATCCGCTAATAATAAGAACTATATTTCTTCGCGGAAGAATTATTTAAAGTTATTTACAGGCTGTTTTCGTTCGGTTCAAAACATTTTATTTATTTATTTATTTATTTTTTTTGTAGGCTATAGGTCAACCTTATTTTAAATGCTGCTATACAGTAGCAGGGGTTTTTACCTTGTGCTCGGCTCTGCAGGATGCTTTCTACATGTTTCACCGTCACCTCCAAAACTTCAGCATTCTCCATCTTCGACTGTAACTGCGGCGAGTGAAAAGCAGCAGCCACCGGTTGAGCTAAATTAACTCAATTAAGGACACATCGACGTGAGGTCATTTAAATAAAAAGGCTCACTTACGTCTGAGTCTGCGATGAGAATCCTGAGCTCTTGTAAGCTTTCATTAATGCGAGCTCTTCTTTTCTTTTCCATGAGAGGTTTCCTCATCTACAGGAAGAATATCGAGGGACAAGAGAGGTCATGGTTATTACTTTCTGCGCTCTGTCGCAGCTCCCAAAATCTCCATACCCTACCTTCCTGTCAGATTGTGCTTCGCTGTCACCTCCATTCATTCCGCTGGTGTTGCTGCGTACCGGAGCCATGGTTGAAGTTTGGCCAGGAGGCTGCTGGGGTGTTTTCCAGAAAGCCGTTAGCTGGAGTCCGTGTGGGGGACAGATGGCCGTGCGGTAGTTGACTCCTTCAGAGAATGGGCTGTTATTGCCGGGGGGGGGGCTTTCTGCGGCTGTATACGTGGCTCATTTACATATAAATGGATGAACTGGGTGTAAAGACAGAGAAGGCGCGCAACGCCCGTACTCTTTATCAACAGGGGTCCTGGACCGCGGGGCCAAGACATGCGATGATGTGCAGTCGAACTTTAAAGAGTTGAAGTAACTTATAAACTATGCATTCAGGATCATATGTTCAGTCGCAGATAGTTTGTTGCACACTGCTCTTAACAAATACAATTCAACATCAGTTTCCTTATTAGTTGCATGGCTAAGCCCTTATTAAGTTGTGCTTATCAGGGACAGTTCTCACGTCATTAGGAAGTTTGGTTAATTAATTCTTAATTGCTAACATTCAGTTGACAAATGAAAACCAATTAACTCCTGTTTAAAAAGCTGTAAAGAAGGCAAACCGCAAAGGTCCCGATTCACTGTTGTTTTACTTTCTCGTGTTTTTGTTTTTTTTCTTCGTTTTGTTCTTCATAAAGTGTTATTTCAGTTCCTTTATTTTAGTCTATTAAAAAAAGAGAACAAGTATGAGCACATGACCTCATTTATTGCCATCTAAGGTACAGTGTGTAAAAAGAAAGTAAAAAT